CCTTGAATCATATGAAGATGCATAAAATGAAAAATGTTGCACGAAAAGATATTAATTTCAAGCTTCATTTTGAGACTTTTTAAATAAAATAATAAATCTAAGAGTTATCCTTCCTGGCTGAGGATCGGATATCCTTAATCGAAGATTACACAATGCATGGACCTGTAGTTCTCTGGTTTGTCCGTCCGCATTTTCTCAGCCAGATGGCTACAGTTCTCCAGCTACATGTACAATTAATAAATGCTGAGAAAGGAGTATTTTTCATTAGAATTTTTACCGGATAGATTTTCTAACTATTGAATTTTTTTAAAGTTAAAAGTAAAAGGAATAACATTTCAGGGACAGATCAAGGACATAAATAAAGACACAGTCAACTCTTACATGTGCATACTGATAGTAATAAATGGGAATCTTTCTTAAATATACTCAGTATCTATAGTAACCAGTACATATCCAATTTCATTAATTCTTAGGCTATTAAGGATTGAATGCCTTAATTAATTCTACATACAATCAGATTACATGGTAATGCTATTCAATTCTTAGCAAAGAAAGAGAGTAAAATGTATCCATTCCATGGATTAAGAGTATTTGAATTCTGTTCAAGTTTCATGAAACTATTTCAAATCTCTCTCTCTCTCTCTCTCTCTCTCTCTCTCTCTAATTAAAACAAATAAAAAGTAAACAATTGAACCTATTCTATTTTTCTCATAAATAATGTAAGGTATGTCCGATCAATCATAAGAAATTCCGTTTCTTATACAGTGCAGGAAACTAATTTTGTTACAGCATCGATGCTGATTTGAATGCTTCCTTTGCTTGCTGATTTGAATGCTTGCTTTGCTTGCTGATTTAATGCTAGTAATCCTTATCCTGATGCTGTTTTATAATTAGATCAATGCTACCGGAAGTAGCATCATGCTACCTGAAGTAGATAATGAATTTCAGCATTGCCGTTTAAAGCAATAAAAGTGCCTTTTACAATTATTTGAACATAATATCTCACTATGTATCAATAATGTGAATACTTTAACCAATATTCTTTCTTTCTTTTTTAATTTTTTACTGAATTAAAACTCATTGATTTTCTGATGCTAGTAGGATAATGCTGATTTTATCTAGGTCAATGCTGGTTTTATCCTTTGCTTGCTGATGCTGATCCTGGTAATGCTGTTTTTTAAATGCTGATGCTAGCTCGATCCTGATGCTACTAATGCTTATGCTGATGCTGGTTTATGTAACAAAATTAGTTCCCTGCACTGTATATGTTTTCTTTAGAATGAGTAAAGACGAATTCAAACATGGGTATCGGGTTGGTCCAATTTCTTTTGCTTTCCAAAAAACACCAGACAACGTTATCTCTAAGGAGACAATCTGTATAATAAACATAAAAATCTCGCATTCTTTAAAATTCTAAAGAATGTCTTTCTACTACACTGATTTTGTTTGCTGAATCTGGTTCAAGGATATTAAATGATATTTACCATGATATTATATACAGTCCCTCGCCCTAGAATATATAAAGAAATTTTTGTATGCATTTATCTGTATTGATCAAAATAAGCTGACCCTTTGAATATTTGAAAGAATACCGGATGTATTTGATAATGTTTTCTTGATTGTAATATAAAAATGTGAAAGCTTTAAGGTTGTACATTGCAAGTGTAGCTGTTCCTCTTTTCCGCATATCTACTCCGTAAATCCCGCTTTTCCAAAAAAAAAAAAAAAAAAAAAAATCATGAGTAAAGTGCAGACTAAGGCTTTGTAAAAGTAAGAAGGATGACGGCAGTTATGCAGGTTACCTTGGAAGACGCTATTTGTTTGTTTGTTGTTTAACGTATATCTCGAGAATTTTTTACTCCTATGGAAACGCCACCACTTTCCGATGGAGGGCTGCAAATTTTGACCAATACTCGACACTTATGGCAATTGAGCCGTAAGGGTTTTTTTTCGTGCCAACACTTACTGCGACATGAGACCTCGGTTTATATTGTCTCATCCGAAGGACCGGTCTCCACGTCCCACAGTGGGATTCGAACCCACTACGTAAGGATCAACTCCTTACTCCGAGACTCTAGAGCAGACGCTCTAACCACTGCGCCACGCAGGCGACTGGAAGACGTAACAAGTTGCTGTCCTTTAAAAAAGGACTGCAATACGTGGACCATATGCATGTGTTTCTAAACGAAATTCAAAGAAAATTTCTAGATTTAGTAATTTTACAAAGGTGTAATTGAATTTATTTATTTTTTACATGTATCTTGTAATTTTTATCGTTATTTAAGTCTGCTTAATTAGGCTGTAGTGATAAAAAAAATCATGACCTTGAAATGATATGAATATGAAATGTTGTATCACAATTGTAATGTAGCCTTTAAAATTAACAACAGAATGAAAAGAGGCTTCAGCGTGCAGGTATCGTAATGGTTGAATTTTAACTCCATTTTCAGATCCAAGGGGGGGGGGTTCCGGGTGTTGGAACCCCCTTTATTTTTGCAGAAAGAGGAAGGGACAGAGAGAATTTTTTTCTGTAATATAGATATTTTACGTCTAGTATTATCAATAAAATAAGTACTTCAATCTCTGCCCTTTCTGCTCTTTAAATTGAGTTTTTGCATGCTTATTACTTTCCTCCGTGTACCTTCACAACCCCGGCACCGGGCCTCGACCCCCTGCACGTAACATGAAAGAAATCATCGGAAGATTCCGGCGAACGTACGACTAAGCCATTTTTGGACCATCTTCTAAAGTAACTAACTTTAAGAAGTATGCATATTAAGAGAATATTTATCTCCTCTCATTATGGGGATATTTTAATCAATGATGAGAAAGGTTCAAAATGTCCCCGTAGTATGTGAGGGAGGGGGCTCACTTTTTCTTAAAATAATCTTTTGTTATTAAATTTTAATATATAAGTTTTGATTTGCATTGGAAGATCCTCCGCACTTTTTGTTGCGGGAAGGTTCAAGATACGGAAAATCAAACATTTAAAAGAAATCAAAATGTACCGAAAAGTAAGAAGTCCCCCCTCCGCCCCCGCCCCCCCCCCCCCCCCCCCCCCGAAATAGGATTTTACAGTGTGGTGCACAGGTTGTTATTTTTATTTTATTTATTTATTTATTTATTTTGCTTGTCAACTCTTTTTGGAGGTTGCCCCCTTTGAAAAACCGTTGCTACGGGCTTGAATTTAAGTGCCTGCGGTGTGACCTAGAACCCCCCCCCCCTTCAAAAATTGCTGGATCCGACCCTGTACTGGATCACTAGAGGGTCTCGAGATCGAAAGCGATGTTAGGTTATCGATTAGCTCGATCAATTTATAAACACACAAAAAAAAATAATTTTGTGTGTAATTACCTACAATCGTAACTTCTCGGCAAAACAACGTGTTTTTCCGAGATCGCCAGAAAGGTCTGAGAAAATGCGATTAACAGTCTCATCGCACGTGTGTACATGTAGACCTAGGCTATTTGGTCTTGCAAGCACACGTGTGTGCACTGTTTGTTAGTGTCGCTTAGACTGTTGACAGTATTTGCTACGGACATAAAGAACTATACACCTGTTTCATAACATGTGCATTTTTTTCTAGTGAAAATTGGAGTAAATTAAAAGTCGAATATCTTGGATATGGGATAATCCATATCTATTCTGGACGAGTTCATTGGTTATTCTGAAAGGTGGCACGTACAGGTTAACCTTTCGTTAACATTTTCTACATTGATCTGCCTACTTTGAGTGATTGTACTTTCATAGCAAAATTGTTAAATTTTATCCCCGATTGTATGGCCTATAGTTTTGTCATTTAAAAAATCGGGCTTTTCGATACATGTAACCCATAACGACTGGGACTTGACATCTATACTAGATTTTTTCGGAAGATATTCTATCATTGGAAAGATAGATGATACTCGTAAAGCACAGATCTGTAATACGCAGAATTTTTTTTTGGTGTTTCTCCCTCTCCGCCACATGAAAAAACGCTGCTAGAGGCCTTTATCAAGCTGTCTATCAAATTATTTTGCGAACCTTGATGCACAAAACTAATGCCGGTAAACATGATAAAGACTATCTTTTAAAACCTAATAGTTGAATTAAGTTTTTAATTCAACATGTTCAAGCTGTTAAGCTATCTACATATTAAGTTCCTCCTACTTATTCAAAATGTTTGTACCATAGAATTTAGTTTGTATATACGAATATATGTATAGAAGAGAAATTCGGATCTTGGTTACGCCAAAGAATACATAAATACGATGTACAGATTTTAGAGCGAGGTTTGCCCATGATTGGCATATTCTAATTCGAAAAGGGGGAATTGTTCTAAGGGCAAGTTATCTTTAGAGGCGAACTTTCTAGCATTCTCGCGCATGCGTAGCCTGACGTAAGCCCATGGCATCCGGTTTAACCACGCTTATATATTTTCTGCGTGGACCTCAGGCTCTACGCAATAACGTGAAGGATTAACCGTTTTACCCTGTGGTGGCATTTTTCTTTTGCATAGTTGGTCTGATAAGACTGATGTATCTTGGTATACGTACTTGTCTAGCAGATCGACACTGCATATCCATAAATGATCTGTTCACTTATAGACAAAGATAACACCCTTTTGTTTTTGTTTTTTACCCCAATTGACATTTTTTTTAATTCTGTGAAAGAATCATTGCATGGGGAAATGAATATAAAAAAAAATCGTAAACAATGTAAAATGTTCTTAGAAACTCAATCATTTTTTTTTTCTGCGTTTGCAAGATTTCTCTTTTCAAATTTCTCGTCAATTATACAAATTTTCGAAACTTAAACCCATATTTTACTCCCCCCCCCCCAAAGACGTCCTTTTGTGTTTGAAGTCTAAGAAACCTATTTTTTATTACATGAATTAAGGGCTGGCATTATGGTGGCGTTCACTGAATCAATTTGTCTAATACGAAAATCAGAATTCGGGAATTTATCTAACAACAAATAAGAACAAAGTAGTTTTTTCCTTCACAATAATTTTATGATAGCTACATTGATACTTTTGCCTTTATGAATAAGATCAAAAATGAAAGTATTCTAAAAGCCACAGTTAAAGCAGCCAAACATATCCAGTCAAAGAATAGGTTGTCCTGGAATAGAAAAAAAAAACGTTAATTGGTTAATGTTTTACTTATTAATTAAATGTATTTTTTTAAAACCTTTTTTGTGATTAGATTTCATTTGGGTTTTTACGTTATTTATAATGTTTATAATATTTAATATTCAACTACTATTTCAATGCTTACCGCTTCATATCCCAGATTCTCAATGACTAAGTTTCCATTTGAAATGCATGTTGCATTATTATTGCACCCTACAAAAATGGTATCGACAAATTATAAAATAGAATTAAGATTAAAATAAAAAATCAATTCCGAATTTATTTGGATAAATTTCATACATATTAAAGTAGGGGAAGAAAAGAAACTGAAATATAATCATAATGGGAACATACATATATTAAAGTATCTGAACATTTCAGTGAAATTTCATTTAAGTGAATTACATATGTAGTTATGAACACTGAATATATTGCTACATCTAAAATAAAGTAATCAATTTACTTAGAACACTAAAATAATAACTTCATTGTTGTTTATTTCTTAAATATTCTCATTATTTTAAAAACTTTGATCACTTATTGTTGCCCGATCCTACCCCCCCCCCCCCCCCCACCCTAAGTTTTGATGACTTATCATGATCCTGTTGTTCTTGAGAAAAGTTTAAAAAGGTGCAACAATTTTTTCACTAATTCGTAATTATTTCCATTTTAAAGAGGGTTTAAATTTTCATTTTTGAATAAATTTGTCCCCTTTATCAAAGAATGTTTTGTGGAAGTTTTGTTGTTGTCAGCCAAGTGGTTCTGGAGACGAAGTTGAAGTTGTGAAAAGTTTCTCATGTCAAAGATACAGAAAAACCTAAAATGCTAAAATACATAAACATTTCAGATATTAACACTTTACCACATTTAAAAAGGACAAATGAGCGACGGCAGGTGTACACCAAATACCCTTCCATCGACTTTACATGTTAACTTAAATTTTCCTTGATAGAATTTAACTGCTAATGAATTCATGCTCCCTTTTACCTTTTATTTATCTACTTTTATTTATTTGTTTTCAAAGATACGTGGTTACTTCGGTTGGGTTTAATAAAAATTAAATGGAAAAAAAAATAAATGTAATCTTATTTAAACAAAAAGATGTTGTTTACTCATTTTCTGTCATATGATCTATCAAAATGAAACGCTGATTTCAATCATCTCAACTTAATTAAAATAATACCTTGTATTAAAGCCTGTTCTTAATTTCAAACTGTTAAAATATCACTGAAAAACGTATTCCTTTTCATTCCTCATGTGCTTGCAAATTAAATTATATATTTCTAACGCAGTGATGTAATTTTATCAATAATATATTTCAAAAAAAAAAAGAAAAAAAGAAAGAAAAATCACACGAGTGAACTTAAAGAAAGGTTCACAAACCTATATGGTGAACGTTGGTCCATTGATTGACAGTCATTAACTCGTTGCTGTACATGAACCATGAGGAATATTTTAACCACAGAAAGTAATCAGGTACAGTCCTAATGCAGCAACCCAAGAAATATTTTAATTATAAAGTAATGATAATAGTTTGAATTCGATTCGAATCAAAAGAGGGAGTACTTACAAAGATTTGATTTAAAGGGAAATTATTCATACATAGAGGTATCAGTATTAAGAACTGAGAAGCTGTTTAAAGATTTCTGTTGATATCTAGAAGAAATTTTAAGCTTTTTAAAAAGACATTAAAACAAGCATTTAGATTTAAAATCTAAAATCATCTTGTGCCACTCCTTGTAACATGATAACTTTTTTACGGTGAACTGTTATTAAAGTGTCATATTTGACACCTCAGAATTTTTTTTACGTATCAACTTTCACAAGAAGAAAACATTTTTTTTTTTATTTTTTTTAAATAAATAAGTTGAAGAACCAAAAAAAAAAAAAAAAAAAAAAAACGCAAACACATTTGTTAAATTTTGAAATACCACGCGTTTACACTCTACCTGGTATTCAAGAAAAATCCACCATTCATCATCAGCGGCATTATTAATAGCGGGGCTATTGCTAAAGCTGCTGTAATTGATGGAGCACCGGCAGATATAACATATCCTGTAAAGATGTGATTTTTATTGCTTTTGTAAAGTTCATTTACTCTAAACCAAAAAAAGCTATCAAATAACGAATATACCAGAAATTTGAATATTACACGTATTACACGTAAATGTATGCAAATTTACAGGTCAAGCAAACGGGTATTGTGAATTTATAAGAAGCTTTCTCGATTAGATGTAACTGAACAATCAAGATAGAAACACTTCAAAAAAGCCTTTTTTATTTACCAAATCCTGCTGCAGTGTTTGCAACTAAAATAGCTATCCCTATAGCTGTGAAAAATTCTATCCCTGTATATACAAATCCTGAAAATATATTTTTAAAAAGGTATAGTATTCAATTAAATTTAAAAGTCTGAATATAATGAAATAAAACGAATGATATTTAAGTCATCAATATAATGTATGATAAACATACCGCTCATCCAGTAGAGAATAGACATGAATATGGTGGGAATTATGACCAGGAAGGGAATCTAGTGGAAAAAGAACTCATTAACGGGGAAAAAACTTATCAACAAAGTATCTGACAAGAAGCCAAATAAGCATGTTTCACAATATAAGATTTTTGTTAGAGTGTTTATTTTTTCAATGCACTATAAAATCAGTGTAATTTGACACGTTTAAAAAAAACCAACCTCCACTATAATTTTGCTTAGATAATACACATCTATTCTGTATAATTTACAGCCATATTCTCTTACAAACACGGGAACTTCACACGGAAAAACCTGAAAGAAACGCCACAGATCTTTAGTCCTTTTTTTTATTTAAGAAACCAGCAACAAGATTTTTCATTTTGGGCATTCTTTTTAAGGCAATGGTATATATCTATCTATCTATCTATCTATCTATCTATCTATCTATCTATCTATATCTATATATATATATATATATATATATATATATATATATATATATACATTTCCAATGTCTTTGTCCGAGATAAAATTACAAATTGTAAAAATACTTTATTTCTACATAAATCTACTGGTTCATCGATAGGCGCGGTTAAAAAAAAATCACGTGCGGGGCGGGACAAATAGAGACAGAAGCGGGGCTATTAGCACGGGAATTTGCAGAATCAGGAGCATGTAAATATAAGGAATAACTGTCTTATTTCTTAGATTCATGACGATGATCAATCGATTGGCTTGCGTGATAATTTTATGCATAAACGCCTTCGGCGTTTATGCAAATTATCACGCAAGCCACTCAATTGATCACATCATGAATCCAAAAAATAAGACAGTTATTCCTTATATATATATATATATATATATATATATATATATATATATATATATATATATATATATATATATATATATATATATATATATATATATTCACATACATTTAAAATTGGTAAAATTGTATCTAAGCTTAATGACACTATGGCAAAGAAAATGCATCCATTAATGTTCATGACGTCATCTTGCTTGTAATCATTGTCCGTCTTCAAATAAAAGAGTCCAAGTATAACGGCAAATAGCTAAAAATAAACAAAATAAAATGCATGTGCATGATTTAAAAATTATTATCAAGCTATATAATTACATGTAATAAGATTGTAAATTAGATTACAGCTTCTTTGAAAAATCAAAATAAGAATCTTTATGCATTATGGTCATGTTTAATTAAATTTTAATTTAGGTCAGGGATAATTCATTCTCATTAAAGGCTAAACAAGTCTATCCATAGGCAAATACATCATTATGGCACTTAATTTAAAGACATGATCTTGGAGTAAATAATAGTGTAAAAAAAGAACATAATTAGGAATCAAATGAATGAGTATTTGTAGGATGACCATGTTTTGACTAAATATATAACATGTTTCGGATTTCAGATGCCAGGTAGTCATTATCTGTTTTTCTCTTTTTTGGCAAAATTTATGTAATTTCGCTTTGCTTCAATGATATCATTTGATCGCCTTACAGATAAGTTATTACTTCTTAGGCCAAGGTAAGTCTCAAAACTTGCAGAATATCAGTATACATGTAACAGATGAGCTAGATCTTTTTTGAGTTGTGTGTGTGTTTGTGTGTGTGAGAGAGTGTGTGTGTGTGTATGTGTGTGTGCTCTTGTCCATTCATTTGAAAGTAGATGCATTAAGCATCTATTTTTAGATGTTGTTTTCTGGGATTCAAGTTTTTTCAACTTCTTATGTCTTTATTAACCCTAACTGCTTTAAACGTTTTTCAGCCTTCATTTCTTTAAAAAGTCATTAGGTTGATTGTTCATAATTCTGGCAGTGTTCAAGTACATGTACATGTAGGGGTCATCTTTCAAATCTCATGGAAGCGCAATATCTCTCTTTTTTCCAAAATCTATTATTCAATTCAGAGAGGGAATGACTATATTTTACTATTTTATTTTTTTTTAAATTCATTTAAGCAAAAACTAACATTGAATATTAACCACAGTTCCTGATTTTCTGGTTATTTAGAATAAAGGTAAAACATATTAAGCCATTGATTATAAGATTGTGAACATCCTTTTTTCATCCACCCAATACAGACTTTTTACGTACATGTATACATGTATATAACTGCAGAATGGTCTTCATAATATGACGCTTGATTTTCTCATTTCTTTAGATACTATGAGATACATGTACTTACTATGGCTTCCGCAAATTTGATTTTCACCAAGTTTGGGTTGCGAATATTAGTTATCCAACTTCTCCACAGAAGATGACGTAATTGTTTTAAAAAGGGTGCTTGGTATCTAAAAATATAAACCAAAACAGGGCATTTAGGGCAAGGAAAATATACACTAGCTGTAGAAGACAAAAACAGGGGAATTTTAAAATATGTTTTAAATAGTCGGAGCTTCATTTTGTTGAAGAAAGCTATGGTTGATTACTATTTGCTATTTTTAAATGTTAAATTAATTTATGCATTAATTATCTTTTTTAACATTCATATAATTTAATTTACACAAAATATCTTATTTTATGCAATTTTGACTAGTTTTCTTACCGCGGCAAGGTTTTTCCATCCTGTTAAAAACAATTTTTTCATCAGTAAAGATGAAGTATATACTTCAAACTATTATTATTTACAATGCAATTAACAAGGTATAAAAATTAAATAGCAAGTTCATGTATATACTGACAAGTTGAAAACTTTGAACATTAAACTTTAAATGGTAACACAATACAATATAAAAAAAATATGAACTTAAATGAATGAAATACATGCTAGAGGTAAATTTCTCAAAGACGAAGACCGTTTTTTATTCAAGGGTAGAAAGATTTGCTTTTTTAATCTAAAACTAGAGACTATAATACAACTCAAAAAACATTTTGCTATTTTGTTAACATCTATACCATGGTAAAGATTAGCAACTTACAAAGTAGGGAAAATTTAAAAATTAATTATTTACATATTTTAAGAATAACTACAAACCAGAAAATAGTCGATGCAAGCATTAGGAAATTCTCAGGAGCGACGTTCTTAATAAGGACATTGGCAAGGTTCCTGGTTATCGTATAGAGTTTTTCAAGAACTCTTGAGAAGGTTTAAATGTACTAAACAGGCTATATTCTGGATCGTTTAACCTACCAATCCAACCTTCTTTTTTAGATTTTGTCAAATCAGTGTTTTTACAATTCTCCATGCATTTCCTATGTAAAATGTAAAATGTTGATAAAAGGGACCAACATAATTTTTCACCATAATATTTTTCCAAAATCCACTTATTTCATACAGTTTTTGTATTATATACATTATTGTATCTTCATTTCCTATGACTTCTAGATATTTTGGCTGAAAATGTATATATAGAAACAAGACATGGATATACTGGCACAGATCATTACAATCGGATCACCTCGCCCTAGAGTTTAGCGTGCGACGGAAAAGGGCGAGGTGATCCGATTGCGATCATTATTTTTGAGTTGCTTCCCTTAACAGCTAAAATTAATCAAGAGACTACTTTTCTTTCTTGCTGTATAGATGATTCTACCGTTGAAGGAAGTATACGTGCTTTTGTTTACCTCTGTAACATACGCTTTATTGGTTTCCACCGCTTAGAGAAATCTATACGGGAGATCACTCTCAATCACTATTTTATAAATGAAAAAAAAACATGTATTAAACCTTTTTTCTCCGGAAAACCCTTACTTGCCAATGTCCTTAAGCTAGCCATTTATCTGATAATTATTATAATAAGCAAATAGTATCGGGACAGAGGGCATAGGTGCCAAAGTGATAAAATAGAAACAAGTGTGGTACATGTATTGCTTATTCTACAGATCAAATGAAATATCTTAATTTCAATTATTTTTTTTCCACAAAATATTTCAAAACCCTTTAATTAATATGATGAATTATTGTTTTCGACAAAATGCTCGTATTTTCAAAAATACTCGAGGATACCTTTGCAGCCGTTTTGAAAATATGAAATATGGAGATGAGGAGCAGTAATCGTGCTAAAAAAGTTAAATTCAAGAAAAGGATCAAAGAGCAGATCAAACAAAGACCACCCAAAAACACTACAGGTGGGATCAAGTGCCATGGAAAAATAAGCATTCCCTATCCAATGGTCACTCCCCGCCTGAGTCCTTCGTTTTTATTGGAAAATAAAGGTATTCGTTGACAATTTAATGTGATTATAATGGCCAAACAATTTGAATTATAAACATCAGTCAACATTTGACCTAACGATAGTCATAAATATGAACAAGGTCATTTTTAATTGACCATTCAATTTGCAAAACGTTCACTTAACATGGCCTTTTTTGTAAGGTGTCTGGCTTAGTTTAAATATTATTCTTAAGTTCAATGTACTCTGGCTTAATAAATCATATGGGAGACAAAAACAGTAAAAATGTGCAGGTGATAATGGTAAACTGATACATATATATGTGAAATTGACAATGAAATCATCACTTTATCACAAAGAGTAGCGAAACAGATGTATCATATACTGTAGTGTATGCTGTAAAAAGTCTTACACTGGAATGTGATGATGGATATTCTGAATTGTAAAACTGCAGTTCCTTTGCTTTTTCAAACTCGCTGCGTAATTTCTACGTAAGGAAAATTAAGAAAAATATATAATTATTAATCAAGGATTCTGAAAACTGCAGATGTGCATGTAATTATCATGTTGAGTTGTTCCATATCGTACAATAACAAAATGGATTGAAAAATTATTCCCTGCATATCCTTTAACAAAAATCTTTTTCTATACAGTCATGATCAATAATTAAAAGTAAACATGTCGAAAAAAAAAAAATTAAGATTCTTACATGAATCTTTGCATGACATGTCTGTTCGTGTCCAGGGACCATTGCCAGAGTCAGAATGAAATGGTCTGCAGGGTTGTAGTTTAAAGGGCAAGGGTAACCATGTCTGTAAATAAAATATATATAAATACAATGCAGAAACAGAACAATTAATTGAAAAAGTCATATCGTGAGGAGAGAGGAGAAAGAAAATAACATAGGCCGTGTGGATGTACATATATTTGGAGTCCGTACGCTCAGTACTGCACTGTTTACTTTTTAAAAGTAATTTATCAGGTGAGAGGAAAAAAAATCAGGAAAAAGGGTATTTTTGTGCATTATTTTAATTTAACTTTCTCTGATATGAGAATATAGTAAGAGTAATTTAATCTAGTAATGAAAAGAAAATGGGTAAGAAATTTAAAAAAAGTGACTGTTCGAGTCATTTTTACCTCTGTAGGAACTTATTTCCCTTACCTTTTGAAAAAATCCAAAGCGTACATTGTATAACCTGTAAAGACACAATGTCCTTCAGCCAGTAGGTAAATCCTGAAAAATAAAAGAAACTAGGGATTGTTAAACCCTGTACGAGTATAAAATACTGCGCATACCTAAAAAGTATACACAATGTATTGAGTTCCAGGCGTATAAATATCCTTGAAACATGAACATATTGATTAAATTAAGTTATAAATATTTTGTATACATACTCGTCAAAAAGAGCGAATACTTCCGAAGAGGGCTGATGAATGGTGCACAAAACTGTGTGACCTTTATGCACTAGCATCTTCAAGCTCTGAATAACGCTTGATGCCATGAAAGAATCTAAACCCGAAGTCGGTTCGTCACAGAACATCAATGGTGGATTCGTCAATAGCTTTTTAAAAAAGCAATCAATTATATTTAAAAAAACACACACAAAAGAAATGATAAATGAGATATTACAGGTAATTGCCAGTACCAACTTAGGCTTTTACCATTTAAAAACAGTATTTTCATCAGTTGGAGGATCAAAAGTATTTATCATACAGAATGTTACCACGAAACAAGACACACCCAAGAGTTTTAAATACACATGTAAGTTACAATTTAAAAAAATAGCCCTTGATCGAACAATCCCTTTTTCTCTCTTTATAAAATAATATCTTTATTTAGATAGTAAATGTACTTTTTCAGTCTATCATTACAAAATTCTTCATTTCAGTTTACCACTGTAACGCTTGCAAGGAAATGCAATTTGACGAAAAGATAATTTCTATTCATTGATTTATATATACCTCTGCGGCGAAAGACAACCTTTTTCTTTCCCCTCCTGATATTCTTTTATTAGAATATGGCATGTCTATAACTGAGTCGGCACATTTTGACAGTCCAAGCTATTAAAAAACCAATGGTTTTTATGCATTAATGCATTTCCCGTGTAATCTGAGTGCAACACATGAAATATTTTTAATCACAATGTTTGGTTAAGTGCTTTTATTTATTCTAATAAACGAGTATGCATGTCATCTAATTCAAGATTTTATTTTACAAATTTTACAATAGCAAAATAACTGATTAAAAATGCATGTACATGATATATGGAGATAACGAACAGAATACAAGCTCAAAGTCCATTCAACACATACAAATCGGAAGCACAGCTAACACGGACCTCCAAAAATCAGAGGAGGGATCAAGTGCCATGGAGGAGTGAGCATCCCCTGCCGACCGATCACACCCGCCGTGTGCTCCTTGTCATGATCGGGAAAAACAAAAAAAAACCCATAGACAATTCAGTGTGTAAATACTAGTAATGGCCTAACATTTAGTATGAAAAATGTCAGTCAGCATTTGACTTAATGATAGGTTGTATTTGCTGACAAGGTCATTGTATCGATCATAAAACTTGCCAAATGATGACTTCAAACGAGACTTGATATCCTTGTTTAATTAACTTGTTTATCAATAGCTTGTCTCGTTTTAAAAATTGTTCATACGTAGAGCATGCTATTGCGTATCGAATCAACTGGGAGACAAACACCTATATGCAGGTGATAAGGGTATATTGCTGCATACGCAGGTAGGTTAAGGCTTCCCGTAGAATATCACAGTGCACTCTGTGCCTTCACATCTCTGAACTACCAAAATATGACGTCATAATGGAAAATGACGTCAAGTCACTGCAAACTTGAGGTGTTTTTACGGGGAGAGTGTCATGAACTTTACACTTTATTTCAAACTGCATGTAAAATGCTAGATTGCTATTGCAAAATTCACGGGTCGTTAAAGGTTTTTTAAATCGTATATGTCCGAATATTTTAATAATACACCGCTTACATGTACCTACCCTTGATTGAAATTCAGCATGTTCAAAATGCTTATGAAAAATATACTTTTGAAATGTACTCTGTTTTATACCCGTGGTTGGAGGTAGAATTTATTTTGTGTGTATAAATGAGTCTGGCGCAGGTGATTAATGAGGATTAATCTGAGAATTTTTGTGGAAATCTGTAATTATAAGAAGAGATTGTTCTCTAACTGAATCTTGCTTGGGAAAAATGTGTGTTGGCTTTGTTTTAATACAGATTACGATACTGTGTGGAAAATACCCTCAAGTTTGTAGGTAAGTTGAATTTCTCATGAAAAATTTGTATCTAAGTAATACTATGACCTTTCCCAAGCACATTTCGGATACACAAGGATACGATGGGTTTATTTATATAATAAAATGTTAATAATTATTGTGTTAATCAGCTGCGCCGAAGCGATTTATATGAAACACTTCAAAAAATTATAATTGACCGTCACGTGATCAGCAAAGTCATGTGATATCATAACAAATATGTTAATATATAGCCGAGGAAACCCTCTATATAAATTGGAAGTATTTAAGTTCAATACTTATAAATTAAAACCAAAACCGACCTCGCAATGACATATTATGTTTTGAGCGCATTTTAAAGCTTCAGGAAGCCTTAACATAGCTGCGTAAGTAAGGGAAGTTGGTGGTTGAAAAATTGAAGCCATCACATGTATTATAAAGCTTTGTTGTTAGGTAACCATCGAAGTCTTTTTCTAATAAAATATTTAGATATGAAACAGATGTGTCAGGCTCTGTGATATCTTGTATTTCAAGCTCACTGGATATGTTGAGTCGACATATGAATGGAAATAAGTATTGCTAATTGATCATACGTCGTCGATTATATTTACATGTGAATGTCGAGCTGAAGGCCACAGCAAGTGATTTTGTCTTCTCATGTAGAAGTTGTTGAATAAGTTCTGTTTCAAAAATAGGTCTGCTACATGTACCATGTTATAAACGATCTATTTCATATTTAGGTTTACAAAAGATGTTTTTATTTGATAATGATAGAAGCTATACCTCAAATATGACCTCTTCTACTTTTCTTTCTCGAGTTTTAACATCTGCGTCCATTTGTAAATAGGCCTATGAAAAAATATAATGATGTATGTGTTATTATAAGGCTTTTCTATCTAACCACTTTAACCACTTAAACTTTTGGCACGCATGGTCATATATTTTGATGAAACTCTGCCTATTACTATGAAATCACTGATTTTTGATTGATTGATTGATTGTATGTTGTTTTACGTCCCATTCGAGAATTTTTCACTCATATAGAGACGTCACCATATACCGGTGAAGGGCTTCAAATTTTGACCTTTACTCGGCACTCAGGGCCATTGAGCAGTGAGGGATCTTTATCATGCCAACGCCTGCAGTGACACGGGGCCTCGGTTTTTAAGGTCTCATCCAAAGGACCCGCAACTTTCACTTCAAAGCGCCGAGCGCATGGCGAAGGAACAGTTGCTACCCATTTTTTATCGACTTAGGTCAGTCGCGGCCGAGATTCGAACTCACGACCTCCCGATCACGGAGTGAGCGCTCTATCGACTGAGCTACCGTGAACGGTCACTGATTTTTGAGGGGTTTAATTTTCGTCGTTTTCACAGTATGAAGAGACCTACGTGTTCACCGCGAAATGTGAAATTTCATATACATAACTACTCAACAACTATTTATCTATGAAATCAAATCCCCACGAAACCAGTTTTTCGTTTAGCCATAAAAATTTGACCGCACAAAAATATGTAATTTTACAGTACTAGAAAATGACACAAGCAACACATGATATCAAACAAAATTTGGTTGCTATGTGTCTTAGCTGCATCGTCAATTCTTGTTCGCCGGCAACTGACTGTTTTTCAGCCAAGCGCCCAGCATTATAATTTAAAGTCACCGGTCTTTCGGATGAGACTTTAAAACCGAGGACCCTCGTCACAGTAGGCATTGGCACGATAAAGAACCTCACAGCTCAATGGCCATTCTTGCCGAGTAAAGGTCTAAATTTGAAGCCCTTCATTGGCATACGGTGACGTCTCTATATCAGTGAAAAAATACAAACACAAAAAAGCAATTAAATAGCTAATCTTGTCATACACATACATGTAGTTTAAGACGAAAACTGGATTACACTGTAATTGCTACACTGTTTTTTAACCATTGAAAATATATGCCAGTGGAGTAAAGTGATAATTTTTCGCTGCTTTAGGTATGTTTTTTTTAATTTTATTTGATGAAGTTTGATGAAGAAATCCACACATTTACCATGGTTAGCAAGAGGGAAAATGATCAATTTTGTTAACTTCATAGCAATATTTAACCCGAAGTGGTATCTTCCTGCATCCATTTAGATGCTATTCTATATTGAAAGACACGTAGGTCTTTCATAAATATCATTTTTAGACAAATTCTGTCTTTATAATATCCATAATAATGCTATGTTGTAAACAATAAATTTGAACTATTTGAAAGTGAAAATTAAGGCCACGCTATTGCCTTTAATAATTGCTCTCCATTTATATACTAGTATAGAAATGTGTTCTATTAAAATATAGGATCAAATAAAAATGTACAGAAAGTAAATTCCTTTCCGGTATAAAAGCCAAAGCAATCATTGCTAAAATGAGAAATATGATATGTTTCACTTAAAATATGTTACAACGATCTTTCTCTACATTTTTGGTTGTATTTTGAACAGTCTATATATATATATATATATATATATATATATATATATATATATATATATATATATATATATATATATATATATATATATATATATATATATAAAGCACAATTAACAACAACTCTTAAACTAACATAATTGCCCTAAGTGAAGAAATATTAATATAGAAAGCACAAAGAAATTCACTTATATTAATATTTCTTCACTTAGGGCAGTTATGTTAGTTTAAGAGTTGTTGTAAATTGTGCTTGATAAATAAAATTAATTTCATTACAACGTGTATTGGTAACGATCCTCTAATAAAACTAATGTTCAAATAACTGTATCTCACTTCTTTTCTCAATGACCGTGTAGTGTAGGGCAGCGCTGTGAGAATTCCATCGGCATCGAAAGCAAGGTCCGTGATCGGGAGGTCGTGAGTTCGAATCTCGGCCGCGACTGACCTAAGTCGATAAAAAATGGGTAGCAACTGTTCCTTCGCCATGCGCTCGGCGCTTTGAAGTGAAAGTTGCGGGTCCTTTGGATGAGGCCTTAAAACCGAGGCCCCGTGTCACTGCAGGCGTTGGCATGATAAAGATCCCTCACTGCTCAATGGCCCTGAGTGCCGAGTAAAGGTCAAAATTTGAAGCCCTTCACCGGTATATGGTGACGTCTCTATATGAGTGAAAAATTCTCGAATGAGACGTAAAACAACATACAATCAATCAATCAATCAAAAATCAGTGATTTCATAGTAATAGGCAGAGTTTCATCAAAATATATGACCATGCGTGCCAAAAGTTTAAGTGGTTAAAGTGGTTAGATAGAAAAGCCTTATAATATCATTATATTGCTAGGAGACAGATTCCGTAGGTCGAGAGTTCAACCCCGGGCTAGGGCGGAAGTGGGTATCCTTATAAAAGTGAATTTCTTTGTGCTTTCTATATATATATATATATATATATATATATATATATATATATATATGACATATGGCTTTAGGAGACCAAGGAGGATATATTTTCTGGCTTAGGGAGACCTCTGGATTAAGGCGACCTTTTTCGGTCTCCCTATTATTTTGACCTCATCAGTATTGCAAATGTCTTTTTATAGATAAATAAACAGTCTGCCATTAAATATTATTAATCTTTAACTCTGTTATTTAACATTCAAAAGTTGTCTAATTTCTATCATCTTCCCTAAAAAAGAAAAGAATTTATAACCTACGTATAATTTCAAAGGATAATTTTTCTGCATTTTGGAGACCATGAAAAACATGCAATTAAACAAAAAATCTAGCATATATATTTTTTCCGCTTTTGATTTGTTCAAATGAGTGTTTCTTTAACTTAGTTTTCCATGTTTTATGTTAAAAACCTAAAAAGGAAAAATATTGTAAATTTATGAACCATGTTTTGAATTCTTAGCAAGTGCTTTCCGTCATTTGTTCCGAATGCCATCGGAATGCCCCTTCAGTTTTCAGAAAATGACCTCTGAACACCATGGATGTTGAGAAATTTGGGTAAGTAACTAAAATGATACAGTAATAAGTTGTAATTAAGAAAACACAAGACAAACATTCGTTTGTTTTTTGTTTTGTTTTTTTTTTCCTAGTAATTTAGCTTTCAAGAGAAAAAGTATGATTTTAAATAATCGTTAGACTATAGTTCGCTTCCTGAAGGAAATTCGAAATAAAGTTAAATGATAGGCCCCTATATTTTTTAATTCTTTTATGCAAGTCCACAAACAAATTAAATATTTAAAGATTAGGCCGAACGTTGAAAAAATAGTCTCGCAAGTTGACGCAGCTATTTCGAGCTTAAAAATTTTAATTAAACTTTCTGTAAACATCATGCAGGACATGATCATCATGATATAGTATAAATGAAACAGACCCTGTAAGAAAAAAAATAGCTGTAATTAATTTAATAATTGTTTATTAATATAATGTGGTCCTCTGCTAATAGAATATAATATATGCTGTAAAAAAAATCTGAATCAGGGTGAAGCAGATTTGATACAATACATGGCTGAAGGAACGGGGGGGGGGGGGGGGGGCAGGCCCCCTGTAATTTTGCTGAAATTTAGGTATACTATAGAAAACATTGCTCCTTTATGCTTGGGCCCCCTCAATAATAACCTCTGATGATGTATTTTTCTTTTGCTTAATAAAAAATTTTTGGTTTGTAGCCTCCCCCAACCTGAAACTGAAAAATGTTGTTTGGTTGTGCTCACCCCCCCCCCTTTCCAACTAAATTACGTACGGGCCTATTCGCCATCCCTGAGGTTTTCTTTCACCAAAGAAAGATTAATTGGTAACAGTTCTGATATACATAGCAATATTTACGGAAGGGAATATTCTCGTTTAATTATGAAGATGTGACAGTAACTCAGTCAAAGCCACAGTGAGTGTAACATTTATTTAATATTATTGTTAATGTTTACAAATAGTGAAATACTGTTACTGTGAAATTTTAATGGATATATAGAAAATATAAAAGTACAACCATTTATTGTAAATCACATACATGAAAAGCTTCTTTTTTTCAAGCAATTGGAAATTCTTCATTTTTTCATGAAATTATTTTATTTCGTATGTATGATAATTTATTTCGTATTTTAATTCAGTCAACAAATCATTGTCGCAGCCCAGTTCCCTTCTTTATTTTCAGCAGTTCAGTGACAGAGATAAAATGATCATTTGAGGTTTATACCCCCCCCCCCTCTCCCCACCAAATGAAACTGAAAAATGTTTGGTTTTGGTCCCCTTCAACTGAAATTGATTCCTACTTACCATGCTTACAGGCTTAACTATGAAGATGTGACAGGGAGTGTAATAACAATAATTGTTCAGACGGATACATTTTAAGCTGATATACGTATCAAATTTTAATGGATAGATAGAAATTAATAAATAATTACAACCATTTATTATAAACTACATAAAGATAATTTTTCAAGCAATTTGAAATTCTTCATTTTTTATAATAATATTTTATTTCGTATATATGTTTATAGGTTTATTCGTATCAACAAATCTGTGTACGAGTTAATAACGCAGCCTGGTTCCCTGCATTTTCAGTGACAGAGAACCAGAATAAGATTGTAGGGAAACAAGCCTTGTAAGTTGTTACAAGGTTTGAGGTTTGTTTATTTTATATTTTAATTTACACTTTTTAAAAATTATTATTATTATGCAAAAATCTGTATGCAGATGAATATTTACATTTTAATGTTATAAACTTGTCGTTTTGTGGTTCATATTTGCGGTGACTGTCCCACGTGTGTTTACCTGTTTACATTCACCTATTGACCTAGAGTCTTCAAAATATACCTTCTGTAATCATGACTGTTGTAATCTTGTTTTTATGTTAGTTTACCGTATGTAACTTGACTGTTGTATAGATTTATAGCG